ACAGCATACGGCGCATTTGCACTTTGCTTTGGAAAGATATAAACGTTTGGGAGAAAATGTTCTGCCCCAACTCGTTTCTTGCCCGCGCAGTTTAGTTTAATTTTCCCGTTAAGTTGAAAGAAGCGCTGAACGTAAACTGGAAACTCAGCCAACCCCCCTGAAGCAACCGTGGTATCTTGCTCTCTGCCTCCCAGAGTAGCAGTTTGAGCGAAGGGCTGTCTTTGGATCGAGGGCAGCCGTCACGAATCCTTTTTGGCGCGCACTCGAGAGCAGCCTGCAGAACAGGCGCTGATGCCTGGGGCAAAAAAGAAAGGGAGCTAGAGCAGGTCGCCACACGTTAACCAAAAGGTAGCAAGAGCCGCGGAGAGAAGGAATGTACACCTGGAAAGCGCCAGAAGCTACGCGGCCGCTCGCTCTCCCTCGTCTTCAGCAATCGCTGCCTCAACCTCTAGCGTTTGCACCCGTCTCCCGCCTCTCCAGTTCTACAACGCCGCGTCAGGTGTCGTGCCGGAACAGAAAGTGCGCCTGTGCGGTGGCGGCCGCGCAGGAGCAGCAGTAGTAGTACTGTACTATCATCATCCTCAGTTACGGTGGTTAAGCGCGGCAGCAGGCGGCTGGGGAGAAAAGTAAGCAGCGGGTAGTGCGCCGGAGGAGGAAGATGGCGGAGCCGGGGACAACCCGAACGTCTCCCTTGTATTCGCGGGCTTCAGGTAGGGGCGAAGGGCTGGATGACACGGTTCCTTGTGGGTGTGGTTTGTGAAAGAAGGCTCCTACTTTGTGGAGAAACCTACTGCCTGTGACCTCCCTGCCTTTGCCCTGCCGTCGCTCCATGTTCCCTCCGAGCAGGTGTCCTCCCATTCTTGGTTCCCAAATTGCAGCCGCAACGTGGTATTCCTGCTGTTCAGTTCCAGACAAGCCCCGCAGAGAGCCGCTGTGTGGTGGCGAGATTTGTTTGCAAGGGTGGGTGTGTGCTGTGGCATTGGGCAGGCGGGTTCGTTGGGAACGGTAACGTGGAAAAAGCTGGGAAGGCGCCAAAAAGCCCTGGGAAGGTTGGGGAATGCAAGGGTGGATGTTACAATAGCGATGAGTGGAGGCCTTGCGGGAGGTTGGGGTGAGGACCGGAGGAGCAGAGGGCTATTTTATTCCGAGTCTTTGGAAAATATTAACTAACCTAGGAATACGTGGAGCAGGAAGAGGTAGGATAAGCAATCGATATTCGGGTGGTGGGGCTTTCTTGTCCAGACATCAGCCAGCCTTTTTCTTCGTCAAACAAGCGCCCAGAAAATCCTAAGAAGAGATTCCTTTGCTAGAAGGGAAACTGCATCCTTATCGCTAGAAACGATAAAGACTTTTGAAGCTGTAGTGGTTTGCTCTCCCCTGTGACTCTAAAACAAGGTTTTGTTCGACATTCACTGGTATGGGTAGGAGCAGGAAACTTCAGGGAGGCTAAGGTGACGTGGCTGAATACAACTGGCAAGATGAATACTTTAATTTTAAAGAAATTATTTTAAGTAGTTTCCACACGTTCTTCTCTGTCTCTAAACCTGTTGGATTGGAGTTGCAAGGCACCTCCATGTAGAAGAGACATTACTCAATAATGGAATATGCTGCCAGGTACTTGAGGTGGTGCTCTTAATTAAGGCAGGAACTCAGTATTTAAGCTAATTTTCAGCACTGCTCTGGACTTTTGTGTAGGTGTGGGAGAAAAAAAAATCTGGGGCAGAGACTATTTTCTACCGTCTCCAAGGTGAAGCACATTTTCAGTTCAGTTCTGCAAATGCAAGTACAGTAACAGAAGTCTACCTGCTTGCATCTAACCCGTGACTTAGTTCACACACTGGCTTATTACAATGTGGTTTGTTTGAGTTTTGGCTTAGGATTATATTGATACCCAGTTAATTCTATTTTGTCCAACAGACTCTGGTTAAAGAAACAGTAGCTTAGAATGATATACAAACAAAGCATTAAGTTAGTGGGACTCAGAAGGCTGCCCAGAAAAATTGATGCCTCACTTTGATTTGTTTTTATTTAATGGGATTCACAGTTTGGTTTTATGTGTATCTTAGGCAAGTTATGATTTTGTCAAAATTGTGGCCTTTTTGATTATTAGAATAGACCTAGTAGATGATAGTAGCAGCCAGGCTTGCTTTTTACTAGGTATGTAATATATGATCAGATAAGTTTTATTTAAATTCTCTTTAAGCAACAAATAAAAGAGCATTGCCTTTTAAAACCTGCTATAATTAAACCAGTTAGTCAAATTTAACATCAGTCTTGTTGCCTTTAAATGTGTTTTAAATATTTATATTTGAAATTAATTTTTAAATAAAACTTGGTACCTGGGTTTAAATCTTGTACTAATTTTCCAGGCCATATGACATCATATTCTGGATGCATTATGTAGACACATAATTAATGGTTTTATTTACATATAATATTAAGTCAGAATTTAATATTCTATTATAACCAGAAAAAAGCCCAAACAAATTGCCAGTGTTGAGCAGTCCTGTTCTTTTTCTCCTATATATCCAGAGGAAGAATAGACATGTATTTGCCTGTTTTTGGTTTGTTACTGTTTGAAAACCAGAAATTATGGCAAAAAATAAGCAAACTTTTAATTTGATAAATAAGACATATGTAATTGGCATGTTGGCAAATTGCTGATTTTTTAGATTATACATACATACACTATTTCCCTTTGGGATAAGCAGTGTTATGCCAAGCAGAAGTAAGAAACAGTAAGCTAAAGAAATTACAAGAAATATAGTTAAATCTGGTTAATACCAGATAAATGTTTACAATCACCCTGGTTTTAGTCATGTCCATGAACTGCTTTACACATTGTCTTCAGCTATTTAAACTTTTCAACTCTTTCTTTTTGAAGATTTTATCAATTTCATCCAATTATGATTTTCTTGGTCTTCTCCTTCAGCCCATTCATTCTTTCTTAATATATATGTATTATGGTTCGATTCTTTTTTCTTTGCATAACCAATTTATCTCAAGATACCAGTTGATATTCATTCAGCACCCAGCTGTTCTTGATCTTGTCACTTCTTGTTTTACTATACACACTTCTTAAGTAACACACTCCCATTGTTTTCAACTGTTATGTTTCTCCTGACATAGTCAACTCTCATTTATATGTAACAAAGCTGGTAGAAACATGTTACTGTATACACAGCCATTTTTACTTTTTCTGCCAAACATTCTTTCCTTGCAACAGACCATCTTTCTATCATCTTCTACATTTATCTCTAGTAAACATTCTAACAGGATACACAAATTAATCTACTTGGTCTAATTTTTCACTATTTATTGTAATAATTTTAACTTGGTATGATACAGGTCATTTTCCCTGTCACAGATATTTTGGTCTCAGTGCATTAGTTTTCTTTTTTTTAATATATAATTTTTATTAAGAATTTTGATTAAGTTTAGTTTGTATTAGATTTTACTATTATAAAGAAAAGAGAATAGAAAGGAGTAAAAAGGGCAGGAAAAAAGAAAGAGAAGAAAGAGAAAAGCAAGAATATAATAAAGAGAAAAATGTTTAAATATATTTTATATATTTTATAAATATATAAAGAAGTGACTTCCAACCTTCATCACAATAAGTATAAACACATGCAGTGACTCTTTACCCATTCTAAGGTTACAAACATAGCTTCATCCCATATTCCATCTAAACAAATCCATAAAACATCATCTTTTCCGTCTTAGTGTCATAAGTCCATAAAGGGTTGCCAGAAGTAACAACATACTGTATTTTGTTTTAGCCTTAATCAAATAAACCAACTTTATGTTCCTTCATTTTACTTCTAACAGTCTTAAACTTTACTTTATTCAAATGTTGTTGTAGGATTTGATTTTTCTTAATTTCTTCTTTGTCCCATCACACAGAGTTCTTCAAGGCTTTAACAAGCCTCTTTGTAAATCCAATAGGAAAAAAATC